GAACGCAAAAAATAAACATCGGACTACATCAACCTGAAAAGTTTCTGCACAGCAAAGCAAACTACTTTCCACGTAGAAAAGCATCCTATAGATTAGGCGAACATTTCAGGCAATCATGTAATTCACGAGGAGTTGTCGTCTAACGTGTACACAAAAAACACTACAAGACAGCAAAACACTCCAATCTAATATTTCTCAAAGAACCTGAACAGACAATTCTGCAAAGACATAAAATCAAACAACAGATAAGAGATAAGGTCCTCAAAATTAACTATTCATTAGAATACTGTCATTCGAAACCACACGCAGACAATCTCACACTTAATGCCTATTCCTAGAAAACTTATAAAAAATAGGAGGGGCCGGGAACGGTGGCTCAGGCCTGTAATCCCAGCACTTTTGGAGGCCGAGGCTGGCGGATCACCTGAGATCAGGAGTTTGAGATCAGCCTGACCAATATCGTGAAACCGCGTTTTTACTAAAAATACAAAAATTAGTCTGGCGTGGTGGCAGGCGCCTGTAGTCCCAACTACCCTAGAAGCTGAGACAGGAAAATTGCTTGAAACCGGGAGGTGGAGGTTGCAGTGAGCTGAGATGGCGCCACTGCACTCCAACCTGGGAGACACAGTAAGACTCCATCTCAAAAACAAAACCAAAAATAGGAATGAGGGCGGGGTTTTGGAGAAAGGGGAACTCATACACTGTAGGTGGAAATGAAAATTAGGATACACATCATGGAAAACAGCTAAATAGCTGAAGATTCCTCAAAGAATTGAAACTACAGATGTTCCCTGCCCTAGCGAGGTCTCTTTCTAAAGGTCCTGAGGCATCAAAAACAACCATAGGCCCCAGTTCAGAGGCCCCTGGGGCTCGGAAGGACCCAGGTCCCGCGGTTCACCGCTGCCGCGGCCAGGACCCCACAACAGCCCCCAAGTGGAGGACTGGGGCCCAGATGCCCAGGAAGAAGTCAGGGTCTGAAAGGAGGGAGTGGCAGGGAAGGAGCAGGGAGGCCAGGAGGGTTCCCGGTGGGGACCATGCCCCCGCCACTTACCGCTGAGACCTGCCTCCTCCTCCACCATCACGTGGAAGCCACCACGGCTTCTCCAAAGCTCACTCTGACCACGCCGCCGCTAGCGCCTCGCATGAAACGCAGTCTAAGCTTCCGTAGGCGCACGCACGCTGACAGCGTCCCTCCAGCCAGGCTGAAGCACCACCCTCTCTTAAAGGGGCCGCAGCTGGGACAGGCCAGAAGCGACTTCGAGTTGCGGGACAGGCTGATCCTCTGCCCAGCCCCAGGGGTGGAGGAAACAACTCCAGTCTCTCATCCTCCCCGGCTCTAGGGCCCTAGAGGTCACAGGAGCGCTCCCTGTGACCCCGGCCCGACATAGGCTCCCATTGTTTGAAGAGTGCGCGGGACTTGCTCCTGCCCTCTTCTGGACCTCAGCTTCACCATCAGCAAAGGAAGAGGTCTGGCCAGAGCTCTGAGTTCCCTCAAGCTCCGAGCCTCAGGATCCAGGGTGGGCTCCCCTGCCCCTCTGCAGAGGGGGCCCAGAGAATCACAGAAAGCTGAGAACTGGAGGGACAGTCCAGAAGGCAGCAGGGCCTCCCTGCCTTACTGTTTGCATTCATCCTGTGGGAGCCTGGGGTCTCACTAGGGCCTAGACACCCCACCGGTGGCCTCACCAGGGCTGCCTGGGTCACTGGACTCCACAGGAGGCAGGCAGGAGCCCTGGGGTTTAGCGCTGCCCCCACCTCAACTCCATTCTGCGTCAATGCCTGCGAGGGGCCCTGCGGAGTGGACCCAGGCCGCCCCTTTCCGGGGAATGGGACCTGCATCGGTCTCCATGACACCCACGGGAGGGGCCCGGCCGACCTCTCCAGGGGATCTGGGGGTGAGGCGGGGGAATCCTGGCCACCTCTTGAAGTTCACTGAGCCGCCCACCCCAGAGAGCTCGCAGAGAGCCCACACATTTTCAAACTTTCATTTCCGTTTTCTCCCCCCACCGACCCCCAGAAAATGAAGGACGTGTGTAGCTTCGTCGCCTGTACATCATCCATTCCCCAGGGCCACGGTGTGGATCCAGCCCGTTAGCTGCCTCAAGGGGCATGGGCGCCTGGCGGTCAGCATGCAGCCCGGGACCTGCCCAGGTGAGGTCTGTGGACACTACAGCGCCGAGGTTCCTCCTGGGGCACACAGGACGCTGTGGGTGCTGGCTGTGAGCTCCTGGAAGGTGGAGCTGGAGGGTGCCCCAGGCCCTGGCTGCAGAGCTCTTGATGTCATGCCCAGCGCCCTCCATCCACTGCCTCGGGGCAATGCTCCGGAGCCCCAGCTGGGGCAAGAAGTCTATCCCTTCGTCCTTTATTCGTTGGAAAAATTCAAAAACACATCATGATCCCTGAAACAATCACTGTTTACAGGCGGTGGCTCGCGCCTGTAATCACAGCACTTTGGGAGGCCGAGGCGGGCGGATCAGAAGGTCAGGAGATTGAGACCATCTGGCTAACACGGTGAAACGGCGTCTCTACTAAAAATACAAAAATTAACCGGGCGTGGTGGTGGGCGCCTGTAATTCCAGCTACTCCGGAGACTGAGGCAGGAGAATGGCGTGAGCCCAGGAGGCGGAGCTTGCAGTGAGCCGAGATAGCACCACTGCACTCCAGCCTGGGCCACAGACCGAGACTCCGTCTCAAAAAAAAAAAAAAAAAAAAAAAATTTAAAATAGGATTGTAAATGCCACACTGAAATAAGTTTTTATAAAAATGGTAGTCAATGGAAAACAGGTTCAGAAGACAGGAGAGATAGGGAAAACAAGTAAGTTATCTGACTGAAACAGAATTAGAAATTAACAACAGAAAAAAATATTGAACATCTGAAAATATGTGAAAATTCAACAACTCACCTCTAAATCATTGGATCAAAAATAAAATCACAAGATAAATTGGAAAATATTTTGAGCTGCACTCTAGTCTGGGTAACAGACTGAGACCCTGTTTCAAAGAGAACACAGCAAAACAAACCTCAAAAAGCTATAAAATTAAATGCCAACTTTCTGCTGTCCCCAAACTCTCCGTGGCTCTCCATGCTCTCAGAGTCAAGCCCATTCTTCTCACTTTGGGTTCCAGGATCTAGGTAACCTGACCAGTGCAGACCCTATCACCATCTCCTCCTCTGCATGCAGCCTGGGGCCTGCATCTGGAGGGCTATCTAGTCTAGGGGAGACAATGCTGGATGTAGCTCCTGCCAGCCCCATAGGGTCAGAACTAGAGGGGAAGGAGGG